GTCTAAACACTAACCTTCATGGCTTCCTGCAACTGCTCATGAGACTGCAGCTTCTCTAACCGCAGCGCCTCCAACTCTGCAGGCATAAAGCAGCACAAAAAATAAAATCATGAGGAATTTATCCAAGAAAGTCTGTCATGTAAATGTAGAACTGGACTGTTTTGTCCAGTTCTAAATTAATGGATCAGTTCTCATGTCTTCTTGTTTCCTTCCAGTGTGTTATCGTGGTATAAATCAACAGTTTTCCAGTCTGTCCAACAGGTCCTGGTATTTACCCCTTTTCAGAAAAATGCAATAAGATTCCCCACAGAGGAGCTGGAATTTCTTTTAGATGTGTTTAAATCTGATGTGCACATTTGCATGGATCTGTATTGTGTATCGGATTGTCTGTGGAGTATGTGTGTACCTGCAGCGTCTGTCTGTTCAGACAGACAATGTTGGACGCTCTGAGCATCATCTCTAATCTTCTTCAGGTCTTCAGTCATGGAGCTGATGATTCCCCCAAAATCCGCTGCCTCCTGACAGAAGAGAAACTGGTCAACACCTAGGCTCCATGTACCTGCTCCACTTCAGACTAAAAAAGTCAGCCTTCTATCACCTAAAGAACATTTCCAGAATTAAAGGAATAACATCCCAGCAAAATGTAGAGAAAGTCATCCATGCATTTATTACTGCAACAGTGATCAGAGGTCTGCCTAAAAAAAAAAAATCTATCAGAAAGCTGCAGCTGATCCAGAATGCTGCTGCTGGCTTCCTCACTAAAACCAGGAAGACTGGCCCAGTTCTAAAGTCCTTACACTGAGAAAATAGACTTAATTGTTAGTTTATTTAATGTCATTTAAGATTTTTTTATTAAATAAAAGTAACAATAGCTGTTGACCTGAAAATAGAGCATCATTCATTATCAAACAAAGTAATAAAAACAAAGAACAGTTCTGACTAACTGGAGCGATTCCTATCGCTAACCGTTCAAAGGAATCCATTCGCTAGTGAAGGACACCTCCGTTAGAATTATTGTGTTATCATTCTTACATTAGTAGTTTTACATTGATCACTCTTATCTTAGTAGTCTTATATTACCATTTTGATTTACATTTAGAAATGTTAGCTTTTTACTGTGCGTGTTAAAACTTTTGACTGCTGTGTTGAAAAGTTTTGATCCACTCACAGAATGTATCTGCAGCTTGATTATCTCTAATAACAGATTGTTCTCCCCATCCTTGGGAGAAATCGCTCTCATGAGAAAGGACTAGATGACCTGTGGTAGAGACAAAACTTGCCTTTTCTTTTTATCTCTCTCTTCTCTGACAATAAAGACAAGCTCTAACTGAAAGATTTCAGAACATCCATTGAACGACTTGCAGGAGCAGTTTGCTGAGTCTTCTCGCTTTTGCAAAAGCTTGATTGGAAACTAATATGCGTTGTCTGTGGTTCTTTTATGTAGGTTGAGAAATTACC